CGTTACACCTGATCCTGAAATTCGATTGGTCGTTATTACAAGGGGTGGAAAAATTTTGTGGGACAGCTAGGGGCTTTGTCTAAATGTCTACTAAATATGAACATGATTTCGGAATATTTTGAAGAAAATTTGCCCTAATTTAGATCATTTCGAATGATCATTATTCTTATTTTTAGTTGATTTTTAGTCAATAAAATTTAATTGACTATAATATTTAGTCGATTCCTATCACTACTCCTAACGTAAGATAGATAGTAGGTTTTTGACATAGCATCCCGGTGAATTTTTTCCCCGGTAAAATTAGCGGATCTTGTGCAGTATAGATAGCACCATTAATACAGTGTTGATCAATTTAAAATAGGTGCCATCTATACTGCACAAAGCAATGCCTAAAATTATAATTCTAATAAACATATACAATACGTATTTTAGTGTCAAAAATTGCAAATCTTTTGTACCGGCAATAAGTATTGATTTACTCAATCTTTGTTTCCTCCAACTTGGACTGGGTTTACTCCGGAGTGCACCGGAGTAAGTTATTCATCGTTACTGTTATGGGATGATGCAATTTACAATTTCTGATTAGGATATGATCACTTGAGAATACAGTAATACAGTAATGACGCAGTAGTATAAATAATACTAACGGTTTATAGTCCGATATGCCGGAAAAATTGGCCCCATAAATATATAAAAGTTATTCAGCATTACATAAGAAAATCTTAATGTAAAGGCTTTACCGCGTATTTCGGAAATGGCATCTAATAGATCTCAAGATCGTGATGCCAGAGAACTACCGGCTCCAAGCGTAGGCGACTACATAGTTGGTACGGAAATTGGTCGCGGCTCTTTTGCAACAGTCTACAAGGGATATCATAAGGTATGAAATTTAGATTTCTGCGTTGGTAAGGAAGGGAAGTCCTCCACCCTCCAACTTCTTCCTTGCAGTCCTGATTATATACAATGCTTAATGGATTAATTGTCCAACTAAATGTTTTCCAAATTTCAGAAAACCCAAAAGCCTGTTGCGATCAAATCGGTGCTGCGATCAAAGCTTACAAAAAAGTTGTTAGAAAATTTAGAATCAGAAATAAAAATTTTAAAGGGTATTCGACACGATCACATTGTACAACTGGTTGACTGTCAGGTTGGACATTCAAAACTACTTATATGAAACTTATCGAAATATATCTTAATTAAGTCATGTTTTTTATATAGAAAGTTGATACTCATATACATCTAATTATGGAATATTGTTCTATGGGTGACTTATCAAATTTCATTAAACGACGTGGTGGTGATCCTAGTTCAAATACCACTACCTCATCGAAATCCTCTAATAACGGTTTAAGCGAATATATTGTTCGACATTTCCTGAAGCAATTAGGTACTCTTCAAATTATCATTAATATTTTTTTTTCTGAAAATTCTTGTTGGGAGACATAAATGTCATATTTGCTAGGTATCGTGTTAAAGTTCGATTCAAGGGAATTCAAGTCTGATAATTGTTAAATGTCAAGACAAAAACTCATTAGGTCATCTCCATTTCAAATCTTATTTACAAAAAAAATATTTTTCTTTTAGCAAATGCACTGGAGTTCCTTAGGTCTCAAAACTTGATACATCGCGATATCAAACCTCAAGTATATGCATTCTCGATCAATTTTTCTTTTTACATTATTATTTATTTATTTTACTAACATTTCGATTTTTAATATTATCAGAATCTTTTACTATTACCGCCACCTACAGATATCCAAACGAAGTCATTTGTGGGTTCTCCTGATCTTCCAATTTTAAAAATTGCCGATTTCGGTTTTGCTCGTTCATTACCATCAACTAGTTTAGCAGAAACATTGTGTGGCTCACCTCTTTATATGGCTCCTGAAATTTTACGATATGAAAAATATGACGCAAAGGCAGATTTATGGAGTGTAGGCGCAGTTTTATATGAAATGAGTGTCGGCAAACCTCCGTTTCGTGCGCAAAATCATGTTGAATTGTTAAAAAAAATCGAACAAGGTGGTGATCGAATTAGGTTTCCTGGTGATCCACCTAGCATGGGCCACACTGATTCTGATCAAATTGATTCAGACAAGTTATCACTGAATAATAAAGTCGTGTCTTCTCACAATAATGTGGTTAGTGAAGAATTAAAAGATTTAATAAGACATTTATTGAAGCGTAACCCCGTCGAACGAATTTCATTTGAGGAATTCTTTATGCATCCTTGTGTTGCTGGTGAACTTGTTCGACCAAATCTGTTACCTCAAACATCATTATCGAAAGAAAAGCTAATACAAGATATCCCTAAAAATAGTAATGATAAGCGTCACGCTAGAGATAGGTCTATATCATCGCCCGTACCTTTAACTATTAAAGATGATGTTGGAATTGATTATTCTAATCGAACACCCCAATTACACACTAAAAACAATCATTCCAGAAAGGACTTTGAAGGATCATCGAAAGGAATAACAAATGCATTGGGCGGCGAGTATCCAAATTCCTTACAGAAGAAAACATCTAGGGATAGCGTTAAGAACCAGCAAAACAATTATCGGTATTATTATTATTTTTTTTTAAAAAAAAAAACACACCTTTATTCACTCACTATTATTTTCTGGTAAATTAAGGTCTACTAAATTCACCAGCAATGTATCCGGAATAGTGCATCCCCCTCTTGAAAAATTTGAGAGACTAAATGATATATCCAAACATAATGATAACGATAATCTTCAAGTTCAAACAGATCTACATCCTTATTACGAGAACCCGTCTCCCTCGCCATCTTTGTTGGTGCAACAACCTTATGGACAAGATGATGCGTCAAAAAACATTGATGGCCATCCTCAACGTTTAAGTAATGCAGAAGAAGACGTTCTTTTTGAAAGAGAATATGTTGTTGTCGAGTCGAGACGTTGTGTTGAAGTTAATAAATTAGCTGATGGTATGCCAATAAAATTACAAATGAGACGCGCACCATTATAAAGAACATTTCATACTTATGCTCTTGATCTGTTCTTGATAAATTTTTTGCATTGTTCAAATATAAATTATGTATGGCGCGTTCGTTGTACGATGTAGAACTTGCTGCGTCACCTAAATCTGCTGGATTAATACAACGACATCCAAATAAAAACGCGGCGATTGTATATACTGGTCCTATACCTACAAATCCAATGGAATTTCAGTATCGAACACCAAATACGAACACTTCAGGTTCATTTTTTTATTCTACTACGCCGCCTTTCGCTTTACCATTTACTAGTCACGAAAGAGCTGGTTCTGGAAGCGGATCATCAGCTCTTGCTAAAGCTTTATCCGTTGCTTCAACCCGTTTATTTGGAACGGGAAACTCTCCGCCCTCATGGAGTGATAAATATTCAAAACAGAAAGGAAACATGATTACCTTTCCAAATGACATGACCATTGACCCTGAAGAGGTTGTAGATACACTTATTAAGATATATTATAATATATACATATATATATATATGTGTATTATAATCATTTAATTTTTGTATATTAACACTAGATACTGATTGATTTACAAACAGGAAGTTGTTGTCAAGAAGATTGAAGATTATGCTCATAAAGCACACGTGATTTACCAATTTGCAAACACTAAATTTGATCATCTTTTGCCACCACTACCTACCGCTAGCAGTGAACTTATGAATGGCCATGCCATTTCAGCTGAATCTGCCGCTAGAATGGCACATGAAGCGTGTGTTTTATATTTAAAGTCACTTTCGCTATTGCAGAATGCCATGGATAGCGCTGGAGAATATTGGGCACGTGTTAATGAAAAACAGCCTAATGGGAAAGGGGCATCTCCTAGATTTAATCATGGTAACATTTAAACTCTATTTACTGGACCGAATATAGTATAAGAGACACAATTAATAAAATTGATTATTAATCAATTGATATAGAGTAGGTGTCCCTTATACTACATTTGATCCTATTACTACTTATATTTTATCAAAGCATTTACAGTATTCATGGCAAACATTAATATTTGTTAAATTTGTTAATAGCTGTCCAATGGGTACGTAAACGGTTTAATGAGTGTCTAGAAAAGGCAGAGTACACTAAGACAAGATATTTATCAGAAGAAGAGATGAATATTAACGGATGTTTCGTAGAAAAATTGCTCTATGATAAAGCCTTGGAAATGGTAGGTTTAGATAATTTAAAATGATCATAATGGAATTCTTCGATTAAACGAGTTTTCGACTTTTAGAGTCGACAAGCTGCGATAAATGAATTAGTTTCTGAAGATTTAGCTGGATGCGAGCGAGCATATAAAGCCGCCATTCATATGCTATATGCTATTTTAGAAAATCCTGTGGAAGATGGTGATGCAATTGAAGAAGAAGATCGACTTACAGTAAATAAATGTGTGTATATTTTATAGCTAGATTATTATTATTATTATTTGCATTAAGTTAATTATCTTTCTTTAATAGTTATTTCGTCAATTAATAATCGATTAAATTCCCTTCAAAAGAAGATGGCATCACAGTTGGACGTTTCTGGGTAGGTAGGGTTACGACCCAACCCTTTTTTTGAATGATGACATTAATACGTAGTTTATGTTTGGGACTCGAATTTCTACTTCCTTTGGGATAATAACCAAAGCCCAAATGTATGTCCCATTTTCGGTTAATAGTATCAAACTCAAGAACCGGTTAAATTTATTAAATCAATGCTATAAATTATTAAATTTTCGTTTTCAAATTAAGAACTTAAGAGTGATTTAACGACTAAGATTGTTAAATAAATTGATTTTATTAGTCTAATAGTTATATACAATCAATGAAAAATAATTATGGAAGTTTTTTACATCCAAAATAAACTTCGAATCATGAGTAATAAACTTTTTAGCCAAATTTTCGAAATTCGAGAAGAGCTTAACAATTTTTAGAAAAGTCAAAACCATTAAAATTTTGATTTCGTTAGTCATGACCGATCGTGATTTTTCTGATTTTTTAGACGTATCAACATTTCGGACCTAGTTATGAGAACCGATTAATTAACTTTGCGTGTCCTTATATGAAATATATATTATGGTTTTCAAAATTTTACTATATAACTATCTATAAGATTTAAGATGTGAGTACGTACAACATCGTTGATATAATAAGGATCCATTAGCAATAAGCATATTTTGTTTATTAAGCATATCTTTTATATTTTTTATTGCAGCATCATTACTAGTTGCATTATCTACGGTGATTGCTAATATTTGTGATATTAAGGGAGGGTCGGGTATTCTGGCGCACCTAAGAGTGCTAATAGTAAAAATTTTCAGGGAAAGCTTAGTTATTCCTA